TTACTAATAAAAAAATGTACATAACAACATAACAAAATTTACTTATGGATGGAAATATGAACTGTCGACCTATCAGAGAAATAACAGTGGCCCTAGTCAATTGGTGCATGCATGCCCCCTAAGAATAAGGAGCTAGATCAGCAACTCATTAGAAGAGCCTCTGGGCGTATGGGGGATGGTGTTATGGGACAATTGATACCCACAATGTGTCTGCTACCTCCAGAGGTTTTACCCCCCTTCCTTGACCAGGCCATTTTTTGCGTTGATTGGCGCTGTGTTAGCTTTCAAAACTGACAATTGTCGCGGCTCCATGTAACGCTGCACCCCAAATGAAAATTTTTTACTTCTTTTTATTTTCACACAAATAGGAACTTTCTTCTGGGTGGTAGTTGATCAGCTGTCTCGCATTATTTTATTTTTTGGCACTCATTAACGCAAAAAAGTCCAACCAGTTTTGAAAAAAAAAAAGACAATATTGTTTACTATTTGCTTATTAAACGAAGCCAGTAAAAAAATTTTTAAAACAATCAAAATTTTGTCATAAATTTAGGACAAAATGTATTTAGCTGCCTATATGTCTGTTGCTTAAAAAAGAAATCACAATACATGGTAAATTCATTGGTATTTATGTGGGAAAGCTTGTAGTATTTATCAAATGGCTAGTATATATTATTGGGATTTTTTTTTCGACTAAGTAATGGCAGTGATTGTAACAATCATGCACACAGGGATAGTGGCACGGTCGGATCCCAAGAAAACTTCTCTGCATTTTGTGGTATGCTCTCCCAAAAACAAATCAGTCTCCCTCCTACCGATCTTCCCCCCGCCCATCAGGAATGCAATCCGCAGTGTTAGTGATGGCTGACGAGCCCCTGCCCTAACAATCCTTTTAATACATCTAAAATAAGGGCAATTGGGCTCTCTGTTGTAAGCGGATTCCCCGTGGATTTTGGGTAGAAAGGAATCTGTTACGGTTATATTGTTGGGGGGGGTGGGGGGGGGGGGGGGGTGGGGGGTGGGGGGGGGGGGGGGGGGGGGGGGGGGGGGGGGGGGGGGGGTGTAGTGGTGTGTAACAGAGAAGTGAGGACCTTTCTGCATTGAGTTAACATCTAGCAGACTAAGAGAAAGGAGAATCGCGCTCGTGTAACAACGAAACTGAGTGGCGAGATGACAGAAATCCATTTTGAGCACATCAGACTTCTGGTGATTGACTTGGAAAAACTCTAATCGCTTAACCCGCAGGCATCTATTTTTGGCAAGAGTACTAATATTACTCTAAACTTCTTTATGTAGTTGACCGTTGTTGCTGTTTGCTGTGTGTGCTGCTGCTGTATATTTAAATATATTAATATATAGGTTACATTCATTTTTCTGTACAAGAATTCGTCTACTGCACCCTTTTTGAGCCTTTTAGTAATGCAAATCTATATTTCTTTCTGAAAGTGTTTGAACTGTTCTCTATAGGCCCTTTAATGTTGAACTTACGTAAATCCTGCTGCTGTAATGAGCGCGACTATGATGAAGTGGTTTTAAAACCTCCTCGGTATATGAACCAGTCTGGTGGTGATGGATAGCGTTTATACCGTACGATATATCCAGATCATCCTCGTTGTATTGCTGTTAAAGTGTGTTCCTTCTTATACTCTGTTACTCTAAAAGGAGGTGGGTTGGGCAGAGTGTGAAGGGTTATTTGAGTTGTAATTAACCTCTGACCCATGTAGAGGAACAATCACATTCAGGCTCCGCTGGTACATAGATTGGTTGTGGTCCCATTAGCTGGACAATCGTTGTGGCCAGGTTGCATGTAATATCTTGGGCATGGCATTGTTACGCTCGCTCAAGGAGGTCTCGCGCCGTGGTGTGGTCAGAGATTGGCTAGTCCTTCGTGTCAAGGAGTTTGTTGACGAAGTGATCAGGGGCTCTGACGCCTTTTGCGATCGTCACATTGATTCAGCCGACTGGAATAGCAGGACATGCAGCGGGCATATTCTTCTGATCACTGGGGGGGAGACTGACTTGGTGTTACTGACATCCCCAGTGACACCAGGGTAGGTGATCGCAGTGCTAATAAAAAGCACATGACACTTTACTTAATGGTCACTGAGGTTAGGCGAGGGGTTAACATTTTGAGGCAATCAATAGGGTGATTAACTGTGGTGCGGTTTTATTTTATGTGGGTTGTTTGTGTGCTTTTACATCTTGTTAAGGCACACTGCATCTTTGTGTGCACTCTGCGAACGACATAGCGATACAATTAGTCAGTGTGCATGTGCTGACAGGGGAGAGATCTTGTATTTGTTCTACAATAACAGGTCCTCTCCCCACCCTCTGTTGGAGTTTGGATGATCACCGGGTAGCAATGGCGGGGAATCACCATGGCGTTGGACCCAGTGATAGACAGCCGAGGCCTGGTGTGCAATGGCGGCGTAGAGTGCTAAGGGGAAAGTGCGGCCCGTCTACCCAGGACGCTGAAAAATCACATATGTATTACTGTGATTATTGCGGTACCCTGTGCAGCACCCTGCAGCAGTATTTCTGCTATAAGGGTGGAGCGGTAAGCGGTTAAGTGTTAAAGGACAATTTCACTAGATAGCAAAGATTTGTATTTTTTACACAACATTCTTTGTTTACTCGGTGTTTTCCCATGCCAAATATAAAAAATTAGGAATCGCAAGTTTTCTGACTCATAGTTGTCACACGCAAATAAATGAACCAGCTCAGCAGGGTGAACATATACCACACAGTCAGCCAATCAGCAGCAGGGGATAAGACTACATTATATGCTGCTTCTGTTGACTGCCACTGTTTCACAATCCTAATGGAGGTTGAATTAGATCATTGAAATTCAAAAGCTCTTATGGCCATGTCAGAATGAAATGGCTCTTGCCGACATGTTTTAATATGATTATAATAGTAAACACTTCATTTTACACTGCACATACTGTTTGCAGCCAAGTGAAGAGTGAGCTACTCTGAAGACTGTCAGTCATCAGCTTGCCATCATTAAAACAGAGTGAGCCTTTGATCATTTCCTTTACGGGAGTAACTTGTCCAGGAATGAAAAAAGTAAAGTGTTGCAATATATATTGCCTTTCAGCACAGAACTCTAAAAAAAAAATGGACACATTTATGCTTAGCCTACTTATTTACTGAATAATAATGCTGTTCAAGAAAGTAATATTAAAATGATGTCACTTCCTTACATTACATAGAAGTTATTTTTCATAAGGCAAGAGCTGAACAGATTTGTTTTCCTTTAAGTATAATCAAACAAAGTCCACAATAAGCCTCTTTGAGAACGTGAAAGGGAAATATCCAAACACCTCTGACCAAGGAAGTGATGTCATGTAATAGAGGTATTCTGAATGGGAAGGTCATTATTATCCCCTGCTTAGTTCAGTATTAATAAGGCTGCCAAACTCTACTTAGAAGCCGTGTCTAGTTCAGGCTTTGCCAGGCATACAAAAAGGCCTCTGTTAAGTATTTCTGGAAAAGAGCGTTCAGTCTGGGGCCTTCATATTTGTATTAATATGGCAGATAAAAATATTTTCAGATATTCAGTCGACTGCAAAATTAACAGTTTGGTGTTGGGCGATATGTGGAACTAATCTGAAACTTGGACTACTTAATTATTATTTATGAGGACATCAGAGCTGAATGAAGAAAAGTGCTATGAGGTTTGTTCATCTGCAAATGTGAGCTGTCAGTCATGCACATTGCTTCAATGGTAGTATTTAGGATACCAGGAAGTACACTGAACATGTTACATTTATTTTTCTTTTTTTTTTGATAATTCTTTCTGTTCTAATCACAATACTAGTGATGAACTAGGAGCATATCTACATTTGAAAAACATTTCTTGAAGAACCCAGGAACTAAAAACACAATGACATTTTTATCACTAATGCTCTAGAACAGGCATGTCAAAATTTAGATGAAACAGTGGGCCAAATTAAGAGGACTAAACCTTTATGGGGGCTGCATTATGGGCCCTAAGAAGCTACTAGTGATGGACTACAGACATATCTACATTTGGAAAATATTTCTTGAAGCACCCAAGAACTAAAAACACAATGTAATGTTTATCACTAATGCTCTAGGTCAGGCATGGCAAACTCAAATGAAACAGTGGGCCAAATTAAGGGGACGAAACCTTTACAGGGGCTGCATTATGGACCCTGAGAGCTACACCATCACACTAGTGATGGACTACTGACATATCTACATCTGGAAAATATTTCTTGAAGCACCAAAGAACTAAAATCACAACGTAATTTTTATCCCTAATGCTCTAGGTCAGGCATGTCAAACTCAGATGAAACAGTGGGACAAATTAAGAGGACTAAACCTTTATGGGGGCTGCATTATGCGCCATAAGAGCTACACTATCACAATACTAGTGATGGACTATAGACATATCAACATTTGGAAAATATTTCTTGAAGCACCAAAGAACTAAAATCACAACGTAATTTTTATCACTAATGCTCTAGGTCAGGCATGTCAAACTCAGATGAAACAGTGGACCAAATAAAGAGGCCTAATCCTTTATAGGGGCTGCATTATGGGAATTGAGGGCTACACAATTTTTCTCCACAAAAAGAATGACACTTTGCAGCTTACCATATATAATTCCAGAGAAACGGGACATTTCCTTAAAGCGGAGTTCCACTCACCCTGTCAAAAAATAAAGGTCAGCAGCTACAAAAACTGTAGCTGCTGACTTTTAAAAAACAGTCACTTACCTTTCCCTCGGTCCGGCGGTGTCCCCCCACAAACTGTTTCACCAGCTGTCCTGTATTCCAGGAGGCTGGCATCTTCAGTGTGGGCACCCGGCTGTGACAGCTTGCGGCTTCACAGCCGGGTACCCCCTGCACATGTGCGAGCAGCGCTGCGCTTCATGAATGGTCCTGTAGTCTTCTGGGACCTGTCACATGTCCCAAAAGACTACAGGGAGGGAGGACACCTTCCGCTTTCGATCACCTAGGCCAGCAGACTGGAAGTGGGAACCTGTCAAATTCGGGTACCCGCTCCCCCCCTGCCTCCCAAAGGTGCCAATCCTTAATGGGGAGCGGGGAAGCAGTCTTTAAAGTGGAACTTCCCCTTTTGGCTGCAGCTCTGCTTTAAGCATTTAGCTGACAAGTGATGTAAGGAAGTATAGCTTTTTAACTGTAGAACACCTGGAGTATCAGTACCTGGATCTGAACCTGAAACCTCCACTGTGTCAGGCAATATCTCTTCTTGCTAAGCCACAGTTGGACAGCTCCCTGGACAAATCTGCCTTGGACCTTGTTTCTGATGAATCTTGAACTTTTTGTTTTGCTCCTCCCATGAACTTCCTATTTAAGCCAGAATATTGCCAGAATATTGTACTCTCTCCAGCCAATATCTTGGTCTTGTCCCTCCTGGTGCAGTCCGTATCTTTGCTATCACATGGTATCAACCTTTTGCTTGTTCCTCAACTACTCTTCTGCTTGATCCCAACCTGCAACCACTTGTTACCAACCTTTGTCTTGTTTACTGTCTATGCTGTTGCTTGATCCTACCTGCTATATCTGCTACTGGACCCTTGCTTGCTCACCTCGTGGTGGAGCGATCCTGAGGACTGCAGCCTGGTACTAATACACAGCAAAACCCAACTCCACCATCAAGAGGTCTGGTGAATTAGTTCTCAGACCCTGCACCTAGGGTGAGCCAAGGTGACCTTCTTGTATACTTATCCTGCTGGTCAGTGGGAACATCTCTGCTGCTCTAGCTATTGATCTCTGAGCCTGACCCCTGACTGTGACATGGAGGTGCATTTATTTTCTTTTATCCCCAAACCACTGATGGCAGCAGAGAAGTAGCGAAAGGGCCACAAACAACCCATAAGACACTATTTTGACCTGATCTAAACAAACTGGTATGTCTGTGATTGAGAGGTGGTTACCAAACAAACAATTGAGTTACAAAATAAGTAGGGGATGTTCAGTTAGCTTAGTAAATAAGGTGAAGCTATGTTTACTTTAAAACAACTCTGCCAATATAATAAAATAGCTAAAAAAAATGTCCTGCAAAAGAAGCTAGTAAATACTTCTTCTGCCCATGTCAACAAGCCCTGCTTCATTAAAGAGGATTTTTATTTTTTCACAAGGTACATAGGATTATTTTCTGCACACTTTACAAAATTAGCATGCAGGAAATTATACTGCCAAGCAGAGAATTAGGTTCTCCATATGAAATGCTTGCTGCCAAATCTATCTTTTACAGACCCAATTAATACTTCTGGGATCAACCAGCCATTTGTACACCAGCTACTAATATTTACCTAGAATATCGATCATAGCAGCACATGTTCCAAAACTGAATTTCTTCACAATTCTCTTAGATATCAAAACTGATGCATCCCAACATAAAGCTACCGCAGTTTGAACTAACCTTACGCACAAAATCTGCCAAGAAGCCATTTTCTAGTCAAGTATGGGCTTTGTCACTTTCAATCTATTATTTACTAGCAACTGCACAAATATGATATGGTATTGTATGCCTTCCTATAACAGAATGTATTTTAATGTATAACATTTAAAGTTAAGTTACAATAATTGTCATGATTTAAATAAAGAAGAATTCCAAGTATGGCATTTGACACAATTACATAAGTCCAACTTGGGTCAATGTAACTATGCATATACAATACCTGTGGGGATCCCTCTGGAAGCTGAAGACTGATTTAGTAGACACCACTATTACAATGAGCTTCACTGTAAAATAGTTTCTGGGGCCCATACTGAGCCGCTGCTCTGCTGCATTGCGTACACGGGAGGTTGGCCACTTGGTATGGCAGCCATTCAAATGATGCTTTCCTTTTTCTTAATTAATGTAAAGCATTCTTTCATTGACCAAGTGGAATGTGTAACATCACACTTCACCAGCCCTTCCTCTTTACCTCATCCAATCATAGAATTATTTGTATTCATTGAGAAAATGCAAAGCATTCTCTGAATGACACCCATAAGGAGATGCAGATTGGCATGGGTGCTTATAACCTCCCCTAAATGTGCAAGTGACTTATTAAAGCGAAGCTCCACCCAAAAGGGGAAGTTCTGCTTAAAGGACTGCTCCCCCGCTCCCCATTAAGCATTGGCACCTTTGGGGGGTGAGAGGGGGAGCAAATACCCGAATTTGACAGGTACCCGCTCCCACTTCTGGTTTGTTCGCCTAGGACCGGAAGCGGAAGGTGTCCTCCTTCCCTCCCTCCCTATAGTCTTTTGGGACATGTGACAGGTCCCAGAAGACTACAGGACCATTCATGAAGCGCAGCGCTACTCGTACAGTGGGTACCTGGCTGTGAAGCCACAAGCTGTGACAGCCGGGTGCCTACACTGAAGATGCCAGCGCCTGGAACACAGGACGGCTGGTGGAACGGGCTGCAGAGGACACACCACGGGACCGCGGGACAGGTAAGTGGCTGTTTTTTAAATAGTCAGCAACTACAGTTTTTGTAGCTGCTGAAATTTATTTTTTGACAGGGTGAGTGGAACTCTGCTTTAACAATATAGTAACTAAACAAGGTAATACCCTTCATGGTAATTTCTCTAGCTATTATATTAATGAAAACTGTAGATTAAGAAGGATTAAATATGTACTTCTAAAAATACATTGCCATGTTAAAGATCATATGGGATTTGGGCAATCCAGTTTACTTCTACTACTGTATATTGTCATAATGTTCAACACAAAAAAGGGGATAATTGCTTATATTAGGATAGAGAACAGAGCCAGACAAATAATTCATTTTTGCACTGTGGCTAACATATCCAGAACTGCTGGTGTAGTAGTGCTACAACCTAATCATAGGGAGTCACTCATTACATTGCTGTGATTTATATATGTGCATGTTTGTTATACAATGGCTTTTTAAATCAACTCCTTTAAGATTATTTCTAGTTTTAGAGTATTGGCCAGAGGCTTGCAAATAATTCATTTAAAGGATAAGTACACCTTTGGGAACATGCTACATGTTTCAACTGTTTTTTAGGGTGGAACATGTATTTGCAGCCATGTCCACCGCCAGTGGTGTATTTGTGCTGCCCTAGGCAACATAAAAATCGGACACACCTCCCCCAGAGAGAGAGCCTGATGCCAACACCAGACCGCTCTCCCCCCAACAGTCTGACAGTGACCAACAACACCCCTGCCCCATCCCCACCCCACCTGAGAAAGCCTTCCACTAACATCCCCCCCACCCCCCCACGAAAGAGAGAAAGACACTTGCCTTTACAGCTCTGTACATCCCTGGGAATGACAGACAGGCTCTGCATACACCATCAAGCAGCCCGCAGCCTCTCTTGGATCCTACCTGGTCCCCATGCCGCATATGTCCCTTCCTCCAGGGAGCAGTGCTGCCCCTCTAAAAAATGCCGCCCTAGGCAAATGCCTTGTTCGTCTTGTGGTAAATACGCCCCTGTCCACCGCCCCGTACTATCTGTCAGATTTGAAAACAGCGCAGCCGTGCAGAGTTTCCCACATGGCAGCGTCACTCATTCACAGCCTTAGCGGCTGTGGGCTTGTAGTTTTCAATGAACTACCACAGTGCTGTGGAGCGCCGTGGTAGTTCATTGAAGCTTCCTGTCAGAATATCTGCTTGCTCATACATCCCATACGACAAGCAGATATTCTGACAGGTCTGCAGGAGACCTGCATGGCAACAGCAATCTATTGATCACTGGTGCAATGTTTTTCAGGCTCTTGCAGACAAAAATAATAAATGCACTTTTTTACCTGTAAAAAAATATGCATTTATTATTTTTGCAAAAAGGTGAACTTATCCTTTAAGCCCCCTGTGGATAACTGTGCATCCAGAAATATGGCTTTACTAGGAAAGTAAGTCTTACTTTCAAATAACACAGGGGATAGGAATATATTTAAAGCATATTCAGTACAAAGCTTAATTATGCACATGAAAATGTTTCAAAGGCAGTACATCTACATCCAGCTACATGGCTCTGACACCATAATAAAATCTCTGGATGCCCCCTTATGCAACCATGATTTTAGGCCATATAGTTGCCACACAAGCTGCAGTATATCTCCCAGCATATACAAAAAAATTAGTGGTGGCAATACTGGCAAAAAAACGATGTAAAGGAGAGTACTTTGGTGGTTTTGTTTGCCTTCATTCTATCCATAATCTGACCACATACTGTATATTGTTCTGTATATCATTGGGGTGAGTAGGGAGCCATCTATTGGGCATTCACTGCAATTGCAATGTATTCTAAACAGAAAACAGGAAGTTTCACTCACACAGCAGTCCAGAGCCATTTTTAGTTTCCTGAAGAACACCAGTGAAGGTGTCTTCCATTCTCCCTTTGATACACATATGCCTGTAAGTTATTTTACTGTGTTTGCTAAAGTCACATACATAGATGGTAGATTGCATTTCAGTGTATTCAATGTGATTTGTAGGTAGCTGTTTGTAAAAAGTGTGTTCATAAGAAATATGTTCATTGTATGTGAGAGACATATCTACAAGCATATTGTAACTTCAGTTTATGTAAATGTATTTCAGTTTTACAGAACTATTCACAGAAGTAAATTCGGTTTTGCAATGAAACACTACGCTGCTTCTGTTAGTTTTGTTGGCTAACTGTCAGCTAACCATTAGTAGGACAACACATATATTGTCAGTACATTGATAGATGAACAGCAGGCAGTACATCAAGGTGTTCAGGCTCTGCCTGTCTCAGATTATAACATATAGCTCCCAACTGTTCCTCGTGTGGAGGGACAGTTTCCCTTTTGGAAAATCGCTCTGTTTATCTTCCTTTTATTCCTATTTTTGGTCTGATGTAAAACCCTCCCTATTAAAGTTGTACCATTTAACCAACAAACCTGTTGTATTGTATTAGGCCTTTCATTCAATTTTTAATTATTGCAGTTTTTGTCTTGAAAGAAACAGTACAAAGAAGAGTAGGGGTAAGAAAACACTTACTGGTTTAACTAATTCTTTTTTGCATGTTTATTCTTCAGGGGTGTCTAAATATTTTTTTTTCTTCTTTCACCCAAAACGGCAGTTTATCCTGCTGTGGTATTTCAGACCAGCTTGTTCCACTGCTATCAATTATTATTTTACTTAGAAAACAGAATAACTAAAAGACATAGACAATTATGAATGCAATATGTTGAAAATTTTCATCAATTTACTAGCCATATCCCGTTGCATTCCTATCATCATGTTTGTATGTGTTTGCTGGCGCTATATGCCACTTCTTGTAGTCTGTTCTATATTCATATGCATACTTTTGATACCTACACTCTGTTGTCTAGCCACTGATATTGACATTTGGCTATCTTTACACCCTTCTATGCTTTACTTTTGCATATTTTGTACCATTCAACTTTTGGATAAATAGAGGAATTACGGAAAAAAAAAATCACCATTAACATGGTTTTAAAACAATTGGCTCCTAAAATTATAGGCAACATACTGATTAAGTTTAGGAGGGCAAATCAAAATTAAATATTTTTTTTAAGCTGTTACCAATCTGTTACTTTCCTGTTTTTTCCGCACTCAGCTGAGCTGAAAGAATGCTACATGACATTATTTTTCTGTCTATAAAGATTCCACTTTCCCATATAACCCCCTGATGAATTAAATCTTAGCTTCAAAGCTTGGCTCTTTGTCCTAAGATTTTTATACAGAACTGGGAAACACAGGTTTTATTCCCCACGAGAATAAAGCATATTTCTTGGTACTGTAACTCTCTTCCTGGAACAATAAATCAGACATTTTAATATGCAAACAGTTTACTACATTGCTAAAGTAAGAAATAAAATTTGGATACACTGAGGAATATTTACCGGAAGGGAGATGGAGGGAGTATATGGAGAAAAATATTACTATATATTATAATCAATGACTGTGTACTGGATTAATTTGATTTCACATTACATTAAGATGTTTATTTTCATAGAATCTAGTTTTATCAAAAAAAATTAGGTTGGCAAGTGCCAGTCTTTCACTACTCTTCTCTGCTTGTGATCCAACATAGGTGTCTAACTGACAAATCTTCTCCGATCCTTGACCATCATTCTAAAACTTCAAAGCTTCTGTTTTAAGGAATGATTATCTTAATAGAATCCAGCTTTCAGATATGCAGTTCTTCAATACAAATATAGGCTATTACACATAAAACTCCCATAGTAATACATATTTTATTAAACAAAAATCATTCAGTTTACATAGATTGGTATACAATAAATTTAGAATGTTGGGAAATATTTGGCTGTAAAACTATAATAGGGGAATTGTACATAGCATTGTGTGATGGATTATGGTGATATTTACACAAATGAAAATGCAATCCAACAAAAATGGATGAAAAAAAGTGATTTGTTATTTTGTTGCATAGGCCACACATTTTTCTGAAAACTTCTTATAGAAAGCTGGAAAAGTGCTCTAATTGACGTCTAGATTTCAGTAAAATGCATCTGCTATTTTTTGGCTCATTATACATAAGTACTTAAAGCTGAACTGCAGCATTAATTTTAATCATCACCATTTGTATACCTCCCATTGTGGATAGAATTTAGCCACTCTTGTGTCATTGCATTCTAACAGTGTGCACTAGAAGCTGCATTTTCCCCCAGTAGCTGTCATTTACTTTTCAGGCTAGACGAAGTCCAGTGTCCTCCAGCCCACCCCTTTAACTTGATTGGATTGCAGCTTTGCCAGTTGCTGCAGCCCTACGTCTAAAATGGGTGTTACCCATGGTGGACTGCTAATGCGGTATGTAAGTAGGAAGGGGTTACTAAATTAATACCCAAGCTGGGCTGCCAAAGCAGGGGTCCATGACACACTTTGGCCTAGGGCAAGGACAGGAGCCAACATTTACCATGAGTATTTACTCTAAGTGTGCAGTTACACTTAGGAACATTCATTACTTCTGACTGACACCTGTATCCTATAACTCCTATAAGAGCCAACCTACTTCATGCCTCAAGACTAAGGGCTCTTGAGAGATGTACTTCGGAAGAGCAATGTGATGCATGTAGGAAATTACATACAGTATCTCACAGAAGTGAGTACACCCCTCACATTTTTGTATTCTATCTTTCCATGTGACAACACTAAAGAAATGACACTTTGCTACAATGTAAAGTAGTAAGTGTACAGTTTGTATAACAGTGTAAATTTGTTGTCCCCTCAAAATAACTCAACACACAGCCATTAATGTTTAAACTACTGGCAACAAAAGTGAGTACACCCCTAAGTGAAAATGTCCAAATTGAGCCCAAGTTGCCATTTTCCCCCCCCCCCCGCGATGTCATGTGACTCATTAGTGTTATAAAGTGTCAGGTGTGAATAGGGAGCAGTGTGTTAAATTTGGTGTTATCGCTCTCACTCGCTCATACTGGTCACTGGAAGTTCAACATGGCACCTCA